TACTCTTGGTGGTGAGGTATTGGTTCTATTTGAGGATAAGATATTGGAGGCCGATTGGTCAGCAGCAACTGTATCTGATCCCGACTCGACGCAACTTACCTTTACAGCAGCCGTAGGTAAGTTTATGTATGAGTGTCGCCTTCGCGAAAACCAGTTATTAAAGAAGATAACACTTTTTAATTAGTAGTTAATAGTGTTCGGGAATAGGGTCAAATCTGGCAACTATTCAATTACTAAATGCCAATCAAGGAAGATATTCGGAACTCTGCTTTGAGAATAGCAGTCATATAATTGGATTTGGATCTGAAAAACGGAAAGTTTGTTCTTTGTCATGAATATACAGAAGCGAAGTATTTCATTTTACAGGTAGTTCACCGGGAACTGAAGACGTCTATCCGTATTCTTCCTTATCGTCTGGCGGAAGTTGTATGTTAGCTAACCCACCAAACTGTACAGTTTTTTCCATGGACGACCTTCATTGGGATTTACATCACAACTTTACCTACTATGTATCTATAAGAGTAGAAAATATAGTTGGATTACACAGGGTGTTCACATCTAATCCATATATTCATAATACCAGAAAACCAGCCAAGGGAGTTGTATTGGAAGTTGTTCTACCTGATGAGGCAGATGACTTTGGTGTTAATGTAAGATTTTTCATATATTATGCTTATGGCGGACTCGTTTGCAAGGCTCATCTGCGTCCATTTCTATGGAACAGATAGTTTAATGCACACAATAACCTAATGGTATTGTCATGCTATCTTTGGGATAAATAAAATAAAACCTGCTCCTCGTGTACAAATTACACGACAAACAGTGGTAACAGGTGTCCGGAAGAGTAAGCTTACCCTGCCTGGCGCCACACCCGCCATAGCTGCATCCAAACTATTAGGCGAAATGTCGGTAAAATAGAGTGATTGGCCAATGAACTATCGGTATGCAAAATGCACGCGATGAAGTGTGTTAACGATGTAGTAGATATTATCAGGGAGATAGTAATAGTATATGTGTCAATTAAATATATCTAGAATAATAGCCGAGAGAGACACGTTATATTTACCAATCAAATCAATATGACGGCCATAAAACTTTCTAAAGGTTTTAATAAGTTTAGCGCGCAAGTATTCTTGTAGTTGAAGCTTAGATGACAAATGCCTCGATCTACTTAAAAAATCAGAATAAAAGGAACAAGCTCTCGCGTAACGAATTAGCTGGGACACAAACACTCCATAAGCTGGTGATATTGGAATGTTACTACTAATAAATGGAAAGTTAACAATCGGAAAGTCAAAGTCATCACGTTTATCGTACAATTTAACACTCAGTTTATGGACAGTTGGTAGTATTGTGACAGTGGGGTAGCTTGGTTAAAATTAAATATAATATCACATCAGGCTTGGCATCTTGGACCAGGGACTCTTCTCCTTCTCAAACATTGCAACCTATATAGCTGGTTAAAGGAACCCTCTACTCTTTGGGCAATATTCAACCATTTATAAGCAGTGTATTCAGATTCCACTAAACCGATATTAAAAAATACCTTTCCCTCTTTCTAAGTGTATCCGTTGTCACATTCATAGACTAAATAACGTTAATAGTCAACCATATGGTAAACATTTGCGCTGGTATTGATACAAAATACCTAAAATTCGTGTAGGCTTTCATCTGCGGTTGTATTTCGCTATTGGAACACATTTGTTTATAGTTATATAATGTTCCCTTTAGGAGTTAGAAGACAATAATTTTCAACTATCCACCAGTAAATTAAAAGCAAGATGGTTTGGGTTTGAATCTGATGATATGGCCGAGCACGTGACATACAGTATTGGTATTGGCTCCCAACCACTCGTTAGTGATATAAAAGATGAAAACATTGACAGTAAGACCCAGCACACGTTTCTGGGGCTTAATTTACAGCTGCACAAGGTATGTGGGATCTTTTAATCCAACATGTGTATACAAAAGCTACAAGATATTCGTTTTTCAGAAAAGAAACCCTCCTTATTGCTCTATCCATAGATACCCCCTTTCAGACCCGTGCACAAATACAGAAATCAACATTTATATGTATTGGTATTATCCTGTCGATATTAATACTGTTACTATTTATAGACATACTTTGTAACGGTAACAGCTAGGAGTGACGCTGGAACAACAAAGGCATCATCTAATGGTATCACTATAGTTCAGAAAAATATTAACCTGAATAATGAAGTTCGGATAAAAGATGGCTCTGATTGTCAGCAAAAGGGTAAATTAATAAACAGCTTTATTCATAATTACAGTGTTTACGAATAAAGATTACCCCAGAACCATATTTTTTAGAATAAACATTACCTCGTAAATACTGTATTGATGATTAAATTCAAATTACCCTCGTAGATATAAATAATTGACATCAACAATATATCAGCAAGGGGCACATTTATGTCTCTTGCATTTGATGTTAAGTACTGCTGACAATGTACACTGCATGATCATAATATGGCTATCAAGCTATTTTACTCCTAATTGTAATCCGAGTTGCACTGTTTTAATTTTTTTCAAATGAAACATCACATGATATGCCTATCCTTATACCATATTACTTTTTGTTTCACTTTATAATAATAACAAACATAGAAAGACTATCCTGGCTACCAAACCACCATTCGCAGCAGGTAAACTATTTTCCTATTATTGGTAAGCTAAGAATAGTACAATATTGATTTTATTGGCCTTGTAATTCTTATTTTTAATTGTACGTTACATTATGTTCGTGAAGAATAAGTTATTGACAGTTATTGGTATTGTCATTTTTCATATACATGTACTTATCTATAATGAATTCAATTATATAAGATTATAGGCCATTTTTTTTCTGACACAGAATTCAAGCTCAGATTGTGAGTCGGATATTGACTATCAAATATCAGCATCTTATTACATGGCACATTGGACAATATCAAATGCATATAAACATATGTATCCTGATATTAAATGGACGTTACAAATGAGACAGAAAAACACAGGTAAATAAATGATTGAATTAATTTGAAATAAATAGTTAAATTACTTTGAAATAAATGATTGAATTACTTTGAAATAAATGAATATAATGCATTGGTATGGGTTGATATTGTTGACTATAGCATTTGGATATATTTATAATTAGAATAAAAAAATAGAATCTGTAGAGTAGTAGCGTTTGATTGTTAAAATTTACATAAATTGTATGGTTGATAAAAATAAAGAACTTTGCACGGCAAACTGATATTAGAATGTTATTGTTGTTATTATTAAATTATTATTCATTGTTTAACAGAGGATATATGGCACAATGTAGAAGATAAGAAGTTTCTATCAAATTCTGGTCAAATCTTCCAACCAGTAGCATTAGATTATTGTAAAACATATAGAAGTAGTGTGAGGTTCTGTTCGGGTGAAGTTTGTTCTCAACCTGTAGTCAGTAATGGTGTAACAGTGTTGAGCAAACCTGATATGCCACATATAGATATACTCCACAAAAAGATGCATGGTTCCCAGGTAATTCAAATATAAATAATATAATCCAACTAATTAAGGTGGTTTTTTTCTATATGTCCAATATTTATATATAATCAAATATTTAATTTGCAGCTCACTATAGTAATTGTTGCTGGCAGAATGATAACACAATCACCCAGATATCAACTTTACGTTAATGTAACGTTGTACCAACACATTAATGAGCACAGCGACTGCATAACCTAACGAAGTATACAATTAACACGGTATGAACTTAAAATCTGCCAATGAGCTACTAAATGTAATCTGATATGAAGGTTTGATTTATTATAATACGGTTATCATTTTATGTTTTATTCCATATCTCAGTTAGATGTTAGCTTGACTTACAAGAGTAATACCGAAGATAAAGTGTGTTCTGTGGAGTCTACCATAGATAAATATATGTGGAGTATAACAGATAATAAACACAATAGTCATTTATTAACTAAATGGAGTAAAGTAAACAATGTGCAGAAAATCAGTGAGACAATGGTAAGAATCTAAATTTTAAGATTGTCTGTATGTTTTTATAAATCTGTTACAGCTGTATACATTATGAAAATGCCCTAAAAAGTAAACTTGATTACAGATTTTAGGCAAACCAATAGACAGAAAAGGGGTGGTAAGCACCACACAAAATGTTGCGTTGAAGCAAAAACATTGGTTCTTTTCAACATGATAACTATGCAACCACGCGAACCTTTGTTCGAAATTGTGCCATAAAGACAAACTATTTCATGTAATATTTTTTTATTTCTTAGTTTCAATTTAGAATTAATTTAGATGGTGAAGTTGATTTTAGTGAATGCAGAAGATTGGCTGTACGAATATTTAATAAAGCTGGTTTATCAACAATAATATCGTCGGATATTAAAAACTGTTCATCTGTAGATCCGGTATTAATTATACCGGCTATTATTATAGATGCTATAGGACAGCCATTAAATAACGGCAAGTACTCTTTGAATATATCGTGAAATTGAAATAAACACACACACACACACACACACACACCCACACACACACACACACACACACACACACCCATACACACTCGCAGTTGTGACAGATCCAATAATTATGTTGTTGTTAGTTAGTTGCAGGACGGAGGGGCTGACAAGGAAAGCTGTCTAGTCGTTCGGATGGGACGAAAAACCGAGGTCCCGTGTACACATTGGCGTGCACGTAAAAGATCCCTTGGTAGTTGGAATTCGATATAAGAGTAGGCCGTAGTGCCGCTGTCCGGGCAAAATTTCCGTCATAGCACACTGTATGGCGTATGCCCGTCTTCATTAGCCCAGGTTAGGAGCAGAACAGTAGGACGCTAAACCCCATTTCATTTCATTTTGTTAGTTAGTTATATTTTACGTCCGCTTCCACCGAGGTGATATCGCAGACATGTCCACCCTTTTATGAGTAGCGTTTGAATAATTTGAATATGTTGTTTGTTTTGTATTTCAGATCCCAACACAAATGAACTAGGAACATCAATTTCTCTGGATCAGAACGCAGTCTGGTCTAAACCAGATGTGGACTATACACCTTATAAAAATATTATATCAGCTGTATGGCCCACATTAAGACATAGAAACTATACTTGGGGTTTACTGGAAGACCCAGCATTCTCTACTCTAACACATTTTACTCAACCGAAGATGATGATAAGAGATCCTTGTTCACATCCAGATGTTATAAAGTGTGGACAAACCGGTGAGGGAGTTTCGGTAATCTTCAAATGTCATTAAGGCTTTATTCCATTGATTCCTTGTGCCATTTCCTTAAGCCTAACAACTATAATATGAACACGTACTTTGAAGGAGTCTTCGTTGACTTCATCATTAAGACTCCAGTTTTACCGCATTTCTTTATATTTCTTTTCACAGAAAACGAATACATCAATGTATTAACTCAAAATACTTTAAAACACGGAAGGCGGTATTATATCTGTATCCATGCTGATGCTGTTGTTGCTGGTCATGAAAAATGGACGGAAGATTTGGAAGAAGTAAACGCATGTAGTGATGGTGTAACTGTTGATTTGACTCCACCAAATGGTGGTCGGGTGTGGGTGGAGAACTTGAAAGATTTTAAATACCAGGTAAATAGTTCTATATAAATATAGTCGATCCCCATTATCTCTATCCTAGCATACTTGAACACGTATAATATTTGGTGCGTCATTCATTCCTTGTAATTCCCTGTTAGCCCGATTCATAGTGTTTCGGGATAATGGTTCCATCCTCGGATAACATGCTATATAGCTATCGGTTGTTTCTAGTATTTGATTATTGCTGCTTTAATAAACTTTACATCAGTACTGAATTAATGTTTTTGTGATAGTTTTATATGAATAACCAATATATTATTTCAGTCATCCGACAGTGATGTAGCTGTTTACTGGGATAGTTTTCTTGACGTAGAAGAAAATGGTGGAAAAACTGTTCATCCAAGTGGAATATCAAAATATCATTTATATATCGGTAAGGTTAATTTGTTTCAAGGATACGACAGTGATCGCTGAATCAACAAGTTAAAAGTGAACGAACATACCTTATTGTCAATCTGTAAATATGCTGTTCTTTACATTCTGTAAATTTTCTTTTACTTATAAAGGTTCTATAGAGGGAGGTGAAGATATTGTAACTAAACATAACGTTGGTTTGATAAATCATAAAATATTACACCATCTTTCTTTACAAAATGGCCACACTTATTACGTCACTATAGAAGGTAGGTATAAATTCATGTTTCTGTTTCACAATTAGAACTATAAAAAATGTATAACTTAAATAAAAGCAAATAGAAACCATTAGATTAAATTTGTTAATCATGTATTAAAGTCGTGTAATTAATTATAAACCTACACACCCCAATCTTCAATAGAAAATAGATTGATTTTTTATTGCCCGCTTGGCAACATTGCTCGTTTGTTAGAATTCACCCATGTCTTTCATCCCCTGGTTCCATAAGCTGGCTCCACTATTGCTTGTTTAGTGCTATTATTGGTTTTTTTTGTTGTTTTTTTCAGCAATTGATTTTGTAAACAGGACAAAAACCGTTTCATCTGAAGGTTTCATAATTGATAATAGTCCACCAGAAACTACATCTAAACCTATACAATTTACTAATACATATATACAGTCAAATGATGTATTGTCTGCGTGGTAGGTTTATATAGAATCTAGTGTTAGTAAACAAAATAAAATGAAAGCCATTAACCCCAGCCAAAGTATTTGGTTACCGGTGTTTTTGAAGGCGTGAAATAGTAAGCCTACCTCGACACGTGTACAATACCTTTTATCATTTATAGATCGGAATGCCTTGGTTTCGATCCCATGTAAAAGATCCCTTGGCAGTTGGAAGTCTCCCCTCATAGCACAAGGATGTTGAAATTAATTGTAAATAATGTATTAAAGAGCCTGAGCCATCATTGTATTTGATTTATTTACAGTTGGAGTGGATCATTTAAAGACACCGAAAGTGGTATAAGTCAGTATCGGTGGGCAATAGGTACTAGACCAGGTCATGAAAACATTAGGGCTTATATGATAACCGATAATGATTGTGATGAAGCGAACCTAGAACACAAATTGCAAGATGGACACGTTTATTACGTAACAGTTCAGGTATATCTCTTGTTGTAATTTTACATTACGTTTTTAGATAGAAAAAAAGTTTAATGAATTATGCTTGATGTAACTATAGATAAGTTGGGAATAAACATTGTGCTTTATTATTTATCCCTTAATTATTTCAAAGAAATTGACACTAATCGTTAAGACGGTATGCTTATATCTGATGTAATTTCCAATAGAAAATTTTTCAAATTCATGCTATATGCTGGTTATCTTTGTATTCTATATACCAATTTTACAATAACTCTTGTCTATTGTGGTGTTTCAGGCCATTAATGGTGCAGGGTTATCTACTACATTAATATCTCATCCAGTGACAGTAGACACAACTCCTCCTACCACAGGACATGTCATCGATATTCTTAATACAAACAATACCGGAGATGACGTAGATTATATAACTAACCAAACACTACTTTCTGTTAGATGGCAAGGATTCCACGATCCCCATTCATCCATGCAATACTATACTGTTAAAGTTGGTACCTGTGATGATTGTGATGACATAATTCCAGAAATCAAAACAGGAATATCTACACGTAAGGAAAATATTATTACAAAGCACAATCCAACTTTTCTGTCATAGAACTATTGATGATATGGTTTAGTTTTATTGTAAAAATAGGGGCTATTTTCTTTAAAATAAAATAGGTAGATGTCGTAACAACCGATATTTCAGATTTTAGTTAAGTTTTATTGTAAAAATATGGACTATTCTCTTTCAAATAAATTAAGTAGATCTTTTAATAAATTTTAAAAACCGATACATATTTCAGATTTTACTTTTCCACCGTCCAAATTTACTCCTGGAACAAAATATATCACCATGGTAACAGGGTGCAATATGGCTGACATGTGTACGTCGGCCATTTCTGACGGGGTAATAATTGACGTGACACCACCGGACGTGGGACGAGTTTTAGATGGAACGAAAGATTTAGATGTAGAATTCCAAGCAACCAGGTAATTGAAACACGATTATCAAGTCTGTTTAGTTTTCAGAACAAACTATAAAATAGACATGAGGATCCACGAATATGATTGGATCACGTTTATCGAGTCTCCTTTGCTATGGGACCGCTGCAGTAGATATTGTCTTAGAAGGCATTTTACAATAAGCCATATATTGTGGTCGTATATTGCAATCGCCCCCGTTCGCCCGTCCGTCCGTCCACAATTTCTTATGAACACTCTAAAGACTACATTTATCAACTGATTGTTTTAAAATTGATATTATATGCCTACATTATTGATATGAAGATTCTATTTAACAAAGGTTACAATCCTATCTGTATGATGTTGATATGCATCATTTAAACTAGTGAAACGAAGAAGCCTATTCAATATTTAATTTCGTCAATTTGTCCTGTAAATGACCTCATATGCTACCACCCTTGTCGATCGCCCGAACGATTTAGCTGGGAACTTATCTTAATTAGATGATTGACATTTATAAATTGGTTCTTAGCAGTTAGGGTTATATAAGAGTGTTGCAATTATTATCTTCCAGAATCAGATTCTACTACTGAATAAGTTAATATAATGTGTTGTGTGCAATTTTTAAGGATTGTCATCCTGATTTCAGAAACTTTGTTGGTGCCAAATGGCATGGGTTTAAAGATGCACAATCTGGTATAGCGAGATATGAATGGAGAGTAGGAACAACCATTGGAGGCGAAGAGTTACTTAGCCCTCAAGATTTACCAGTGGTCGAACTGGCCTATAGATCTAATTTACCTGATAATAAGCTATTGCCTATTGATACTAGAATTTATATTACTGTTAGATGTTACAATAAAGCAGGTACGACTCAAATTATTTTAATGACGCTAATGATGCTTACAAAAACAATAATTTAAGTTATATCTTACTTGAACAAGCATTACTGTTGTGGACCCAATGTATAAATTCGCAATATAAGTAGTAAAAGGGTTCGTACACGAAATATGTTCCCTTTCTAAAATTGGTTAGAGTTATTACCCCTTTGCGGGATAGAATATAGAAACATGAGGGCATGTCCTCTAGACCCGGCTTCATTGTAGACGAATCGACATCTTTCTTTTGTAAAATTGCATAGGATTACTATTATATTTATATCATCATCGTTTGTATTATTTGTGTATTTCAAAGCCGCCACTGCACCTAGATTTTATATTATTAGGTTTATACAGCGAAGGTACATCAAATGGTTTTAAGATCGATACAACATTACCAGTAGAAGTACAAAGGGCAGTTCCCGTCTCATCGTTTAGTTCTATTTTACCTTCAACTACCATATCAAAATCTAGTATTAAAATTGAATGGAAGTTTACTGATGATGAATCAGATATAGAAAGACAATACATTTCTATTTCACCTCATTTATTGGGAGATTTTAATTCTTCAGCTATGGAGGTAAGTCCTATCGATAATTTTAAACATATTTTGTTTTTTGAAAAATGAAACATTTTGATAAAAAAATAAGCATGCCTATAATGAATTCAGTAATTTAGAAAAATACAGTGGCATTACGAGGATGTCCACTGGACAGTGCCTGAGTAAAATTGCATAGTTGGAAAACTTTTAAGGGATAGATTACTATTTTAAAAATGCAGTGGTTTCACGGGTTTGTCTAACGAACGGTGACGAAGTTAAATTGTATAGTTGTAATACTTTTAGTTTTAGAGAATATATTACTATTTTTGTTTCAGATTCCTAGTGTGGTAACAGAGTTTACATTTTCTGGTCTACCTCTACACGATGGGAGTAAATATAAAGTTAAAGTGATTGGTTGTAATTTAGCTGGTTTGTGTCTGTCGAGTGTTACAGATGATATAACAGTTGATTCTACACCACCTACCAGAGGTACGTGTATTGTTTGTATCGATTAAAAGTGCTAATAGTTATATAACATTATATAAGAACAAATGTCATGATATCTGATAACTCATTCTTGATCTAAATAAATCCACGTACTCTAAGAAAACAGGCAATTTTAATTTTCATTTTTTTTTATTTGTTTTCCACTTTAAAATGACTAAGTAATCTGATAATTATGAAAAATCTGAACTCGATGTCGTTTTGCTTTTGTTCTGGTCATTTTGGAGAATTAAAGTTTTACCATATTACAAATTGTGTATCTTCCCCAATGAAATAATTAGTGAATGTTGTTTCAGGTATGTTTGCCATTGATACTGACCACGCCGCTAACTTAAACAGAGATAGGAATAACTGGAACCACTGGTCTACTACGTCTATTAAGTTAGCATGGTTGGGATTTGCCGATCTACATACTGGTATAACCGAGTATAAAGTCAGTGTTGGAAGCAAACCTTTCTTTACAGATCTCAACGAGGCAAGTATCTCTAATTACGGTAATATGTGGTATTCTTGAGCATAATACAATTTTTGGCGTAAATTAGCAGCATTCAAACACCCAAAATCTTATAAATAAAATGCTTGGTTTCGGTCTGCAATTAATCTTAGGTAATATGACATATTGTTTTTTACTTCACGAAATTCTTTTATGAAAAAATGTTTTAACAGGGCTATCAACAAACCACGTTTCAACATGTGGCTGGAGATAATTTTAATGATGAAGGAGTGGTACAATCAGTTACAATAACTACCAAGACACTTCATATGGGCAATTCTGTTTTCATATCTGTATGGGCTGTTAACGGGGTAATTATTGCTATTTAATCATTTTCTAGTATATCATATATGTACTACAGTAGAACAAGAGAAATTACACCTCTAAATCGGATGTATCAGACTGAGGCAAAATTGCCACTTCAGTATCCGTATCTATTAACTACCAATATGTTTTACTTCTAGTCGTTTTATTTATGTTACATATCATTTCATTTTTATTTTTGACATAGGTTGGATTAAAAAGTCAACCTGCTCATTCTGAATTTGAACTTGTAGAAGGAGGAATGTTAGATTTAGCCAGGAGATGTCAACCGTATAATTGTCTTGGACATTGTGTTTGTGCTGCACAAGACAAAACATGTTCAGATGCTGACAACTGTAGAGACATCTCAACAGGTATATATCTATCAACTTTATTTAAACATACATTATGCAAGAGCTAAATCTGTCTATTGCAGGTCTTTCTTTAGGCCTGAAATGTTATCTAAATTATTAATTAGACATTAATTAACCGATCCAGACCATAATCAACTCAAGATGGTATCGCTAGCCTGTGATCTTAAGTGGATTATGAGCCGATTTACTGCATAACTTTCGTTCACGATTTAACGATTAAATGGATAATCGAGTCTATGCTGTTTATCGTACTGACTTTAGTAATGATGAGAGAGGCTAGGCGAAAATTTCAAACGCTTAGTTCTCGGTTCATAGTGGATCAATTTGAATGAAATTCAGCAAATTGCCTTTACATTATCTAGTTTTTAATTATTATAGTGAAAACTGCCAACTCGTTATCAAATCTCCCATAATGTATCTTTAAAATTATTCATATTAATTAATTAATTCTTTGTGAATTTTTCTGCCAGCTTTTCCTTGGCATTCGCCACAGTAATGGCCCACCGTGTTTAGTCTACCTTAAGTAATTCCAGATGTTATATGCCACCCTATTACTGTATTTCTATGTTTTTGTATATTTTATGCAATCCGCAATGTGATTGAATGTTTTATTTATACTCATTCTTGCAGGGAATCCAAATAACATTATCCAAGTTACAGACATGACTAATTTGATGTCATCTGATGCTGCACAGTCTTACTACACATCGTCTGATAATTTTCTAGCTGCCAGATGGAGGATAATAAACCCACAAGGCATCTCTCCTATAAGGTAATTTAAACTTAGATAAATTAAACCTCTTTAATAAACCAACACGGCCTCTCATCTATAAGATAAATTAAACCTCTTTAATAAACCAAAAATATCATACAACTTGGCGCAGGCCCGCTAGATCATGGTGCTCTAGGCTTCAGCCTGCCAAGACCAGTTTAGTTCATTATTAACTACATAGCAATTACCCTGAATTCAAACTCAGCATATGGTATTTTAGATATGAATGCAGTGCCGGACATTCCGGTGAAAATTCACCCAGTGGAATATATGACACTGATACAGAAAGGACATGGTTTGATGTTGGTGAAAATACCGAAACTATAATTACTTTACCTACAGGTATACCTTTTAAAAATGTTATTCATTTCTTTCAAGAAACAATTATTAATACTGTATATTTATTAGTATGTAATATTAACAAATCACACAAACTTCACTCAGTCACAGTAGGATACCTTATCAATACATTCAACTATAAACATTGAAACATACGTACAAAGCTCTATAAACAAAAATCTTCTTGCTTGTAAAGGTGTGTCACAGAGATCGGCTTAAGGTCCCACCGTGTTTCTAGTACATGTAATTTCGTAATATTATTTTATTTATTACAGCTAAAGTTTTAGATAAGTCTGTGCCATATAGTGTATTTGTGAGGGTATGGTATAATGCAAATCAATATGCGATATTTAAGTCTCCTGGTATTACACCACTGATGTCTGCTCCGAGTGTCAGTCACATAGCGGGAGCTGATGTAAGTACTTAAAAATAAGTTAAAAACACCAAGCTATTTAATAATTATAACTGTCATTATATCGACTATTTTTCCGTTTAGATTAACTTATTTTAAATAGTATTATTGATTTGATTTTGAGATATTTCTTTATTTTTTTATCCAGATAAAAGAATTAGAAACTATATTAAGTGTTAAGGATTTAGATTACCAAACATCCAGCAATCAAATTATTGTTGGTTGGAAGAATAAATTTAGAGGAGGAATTCATGGATTCGATTATTTTAAGCCTTATATAAGCACCCATCCACAAGGTGGGTTTTAATACTAACATAATCACATTAAATGTTTCACGGAAACATGTATTAATTAATTGTATGACAACATTTTTAAACTGATGTTTCCATTCCTAAAGATATTTTTGAACCAGTCCCGACCAATCTCATTATTAAGTATAGTTAGTCTTAAAGATTGCAAAACTTTATTTTGGCCTCAAATGTTATATCAATTATTAGAAATTTATTCACAAGAAAACACGTAATCAACTCTCTAGGCCATCGGAATGTCAAGATTTGAAATACGATAACAATGGTTACATTAAAAAAAAATCGAGACTACGCTATTCTAAGCAAAACCTCAAACACTGACAACTTCCCTCAAAATAGAGAACTGCAATTTTCAATATATTTTTTTTATTGCTGTTTCATTATCTATTTATCTAAATCTTACATATTGCATCTTTAATAATGTAATCAATAGCGGTCTTGGTTTTTTTTCTCCTGAAATGTAGGCCACAACGTTCATCAGTCATCTACAAGAGTACCTGGAAATACTAGTGTATATACAGCTACTAATCTAAATCTACAAGAGAATAGAGAATATTATAGTACTGTACTAGCTTATAATAAAGCAGGATTATTGAGCTGGGCCAATAGTGATGGAATATTAATAGACAATACAACTCCCACTTCTGGTATTATATATGATGGTAATGGTAAGTAAACTATTGAAATTATTGAATATAGAGTGGCACCCCCAAAAAACAGAACACCGTAAAATTTTTATTAAATCCTACAGCTTCTTGAACTTGGTCTGCGTACGATCATGGTATCTTGGTCGCTTTGCACAAAAGTCATGTTCTTTCCAAGAAGAAAAATTACAATCAACAGTGTTATTCAAAGATTTGTGGGTTCTTGGGGGTGGGGGGACGTTGCGGCCACCTTTAGATTACCCAACACTACTCATAGACTTATTTTAGCCGATTTCAATTTTTTAATCTTTTAAATCTGATACATATTTTCATGACATTTCCCTAAGAAATTTCATGATTTGTTATAATAATAAGATAAAACCAAGTACGAACAATCCAAACCATTAGACAAAATTCGAGGTCCTAAATAAACGGTATAGGCAAAATGGTGTAATCAGCAAATGGACTGTTCACCGTGTACAAAATACACGACAAACAGTGGTAACAGTGATAAGTTTTATTTTTCATGCTTTTTATAGACAACCATGATAAATTGGGGGATACAGTCTCTTACTATTTCATATTGTACAGATATCTATGATAAAGATTACCAAAACTCTACAACAGTTATATCATCATCGTGGTATGGTTTTACTGATAGTGGTACTGGTATAGTTAAATATTACTGGTGTATTGGTACTGGTATTAGTACTACAGAGTGTAATATACACGACTGGAAGAATGTAGGATTAAATACTAGAGTGTCTGTAAACCTAACCTCGCCTTTAAATCATGGTAGGCATTCTAAACTTTCCATATTAATTGAATAAAATCGAATCTCAATTTCGATTAGATGAAGAGTTGAAGTATTAAATAAAAATCCAGTCATTATCGTGACATTATCTATACTACAGTAGGGATATATCACTCGTCATATTTTTGTCTTGCCCCGACACGTGTGATACTGGTCCCTTACTGTAGTATAGTGTGCAAGATAATGAAAACAGTTTTTTTTATCTCTTCAAATGCCTTTGGAAAGAGTCCCCTCAAATATAATATACCTCAAGACCATCCCATAACGGCTCAAGCCATCTGTTTCCAAAGAATGAATTTCTGAGTGTTTTGTTTTCAAATGTGATATATTATTATCAAAGTATTAGTCCCACCGTAACAAATACCATTACTGTATTTTATTGTTATAGGTATGAAAATTTATAATAAAGTGTATGCTGTAGATGGAAGTGGGTTGAAATCTGATGTATCAGTGTCTGGTGGTATTACAATTGATATCACGCCCCCAGTACCGGTTGATATAGATTATATTGGAGAAAATCTCATCGCCAATCCATCATTTGAAGAAGACGTGACAGAATCAAATAAGGAATGTGATGACCAACCACCAGCTCCTTGGTATATTGACTCCACCTCGTGTATTAAAATCATCCAATCACAACCTTCCGTTTCAAAAGAGGGTGGAACCTATATTAAAGTGAAAGGTCATATTCAACAAACAGTTTTTGATTTAAACACCCAAAGTGCTTATCATGTTATAGTACATGTCGGATATCCACATGATGGTAGCATTCAGCATCACAACGTGGAAGGTTTCGTGCAATTCGGACAGGAAACTCACACTTTCAGCCTTGACCCAGAACGATGTCGGGGGATATGTGACATCAACCAACAGCCATTAATATTATGGAACAAATTTACGTATGTATTCTATCCAAGAGAAGCAAGAGAAGTGATAAGAATTGGTACAAATAAATTACATATGATATTAGCTGTAGATGATGTATATGTACAACAAGTTAATTATATAGATATAACAAGTGATTCTAATCATTTAATACATCATACAGTGTTTAGACCTTATTGGTCATCTCTTCATCTTACCTGGCATTTTAAAGATGATCAAAGTCCTATTACAGATTATCAGTGGGCACTAGGTAAGTTTAGCTTGAATACATGTACTACTGTATGTAAATATATCAGTGACTATAAGTAATACAATAGTGTTTAAATCATGTAGGTATTTAGTTATAGCAATACATTTCCTGTTTTTGTAGATTTTATTTAGCAATCCAGTTGATTTTGGTATCAAATATATTTACTGATTACTTTGGAAAATTACCCAGGGAGCATTCTTATTTTCTAAATCGTTTTGACAACGGTTTTCAATCAAAACAATCATTTTAATTTCAGGAACTGTGAAAGGTGGAACCCAGATTCAGTCGTTCACAAGTGTTGGCAGAAATCAGCAAGCTACAGCATCTGGTCTAAATTTAGCCCATAATACATTACTTTACTTGACGGTGATGTCAACCAATGGCGCCGGACTAACAACTGTCAGCCAATCAGAGAGTATTGTTGCCGATATGACTCCACCAATAATATCAGAGATGAACGATGGTATAGGTAAGAAATTAAATGTTGATTGTGGGGTACTTTAATGGAAAATATTACTGCCCACCACAATGAAAAATCAGCTATATAAATAAAATTGACAGAAGCCTATGTTATTATCAGAATGGTTATCCACACCAAGTTCAGGGTTAAAACTTGCTTATTACATGACAGTTTTTTTTACTGTTTACTAAGCCAGTCACAGTTAACATTTGATCAAAACCACGTAACCTTTGTCATCAGAACTCTGAAGGACGAATTCGCATCAACTCGAGTGTTTCTTGTTTGTCTTTCTCTTTTGTTGATTTAAATATGTTTTGATCATTTTAGAGGATGATGTAAATTTCCAGCTAACCAAACTCATATCAGTTAACTGGAAAGTAGGAGATCCAGAATCAGGAGTAGAATATTGTCAATGGGCTATAGGTAATACTTCACTATTTTCAACGTTGGAATAACGTAATTTGTTAATCGGTTATAGACGAGATTCCCCTCGTGGTCCACTGTATGGCGAATGCCCGTCTTTATTAGCCCACCAAATGTAGAACAGTAGGACGTTAAATCCAATTTCATTTTGCATTACAACATATAACAAATACCGTATCTCTATGTATGTAACCTAATTCGACGGTTGGCTGTAATTATTGTTAATTTCTACAACATACAATCTACTATTTGTATCAACAAGAGAACATGTAGGCAGGGGCGGATCCAGGAATTTTTGCAGCAGGGGGTTTGCCAGGTTCCTGAGACAATGTATCCCCCCCACCATATGGTCTCTATCGTCATTTGGGCGTATATACATACACATTAAGCTTTTTAAACAGAGAAATTCAACACCTCGTTTGACGTCAATTTTTATTATGAATTAATACAATGACATTGTGATTCAATCTCATGGATGCAAAGCATTAATTGTGATATCACATAATGTTTATATCATTATCTCGTGCTTTAAGTGCCCATCCTGTCCCACATCTGACGATAAAGGACAAAGCACACGGCCGAGAAACTTTTCTCATAAAAGTGTTGATTTACAAAAAATTTATGTAGCTGAGCAGGGGCGGGGGGTTATTTAATTATTGGCACCTTTATTCATTTGTTTTACATACTAGGTTCAACGCATGGCGGTGTTGATATACAGCCATTTACTCCTGTACCAGATAAACAATCATTTGCTCAAGTAGAACTCCCCGTTGATCAAATACAGAACTCTAAACAAGTTTATTCTACTGTAAGATGTTATAATAAAGCTGGGTTACCAACTACAGCTACTACTGATGGCGTTCTTCTGGTTATAAACAAAATGGCTACCATAGCAGAGGGGCAAATCGCTATTCATCAAGATGGAGTATCTGCATATCCGGTGAAGGATAATTGTTATCCATTGACTAATAGTTTACGATTAAAATGGGATTTCGAAAATACCAGAATTGGTACCAAGTCTATACAGGTATTCAATTTTTAAGAAAATGAGAAATTCCAGACAAATGGACTTTTAATCTTATCTGTGCACATTTGAACGCCAAGAATTAGCAGTGTCTTTTTTCATAATAAAACGAGTTAGTGTTTCGGTTTAGAATAAGCACCCTGACTGAAAAACTGATTAGCCGTAGATATTAGCCAGGCTGCTACATCGATGCTGCTTAATTGGCCCCACAGATTAACTTTTTTGTTCTGCAAATGAAATTGTTGAACATCTGTTTTAAGCTTTAGAAAAATAAATAAAGTTTTTGAAAAATATGTCCTATTTAGTGTAAATGTCTTATGTAAACAATGCACGCACCATTGAGCCAATGATTGACGCCGTGTGATGTGACGTCAGGTGTTGAAAGCAGTCATCATTTACAGAGTTATTGGAAAAATTTTGTAATCCTCTGTGAAAATGATTGTCTTCTTTACACGATTTACATTGGTCGTTACAAGTATTAGATTTATGTTCTTTTATTACCAGGTATCGGTGTATGGTCCAGGTTATAAATTAGATAAGGAAGTTCGAGTTTCAGAGATCGGTTATAACCAGGCTAAATTAAGAAGTTTATCACTACAACCTAACTCTAACTATAATGTTAGTGTTTCTACTATTAATGTATTAGGAAGACAAGACAATTCTATATCAACAGTAATATCATCTGTAGCACAACCTCCAATTTTACAAGGTTTGTATAAGTCATTCTGCCAATAGAAAAATTTCAAATTTGATCTATGATGTGTAAAATTATCCACGGGTTACAAAAAGTCTTTACTTTTTTATTGGATTATGTCAGAAATTGGATTTCGTTTGAGCATCTTTAATTTCGTTTATGAAGTGGAGTTCGAAAAAACTTTAGTTCAACTATTCAGCTGTAAATTTGCAACGATAGCGCGTTTAACCGGATGTTTTGGCCCTGTTTTTAGAAATATGCTCATTTTCTTAATATTATTTGAATGAACTGTGCAGTGTGACTACTGGTTTATATTGAATGGTATATTCTGAATGAATAAAGTTACTATTATTACTATTCTATATATTTCAGCGGGTTCAAAATTATTAATTGCCCGATCATTTGATGGTAAATCTATGGAAATGTCATGGAGAGATTTATTTACGTCCCCATGGAAGAACCTGTATTATGAAGTCAGTTTAGGAACATCGCCAGGAGGAGCGGACGTTATACAATGGCAAGAGACAAAAGTTGCTTCCCTTACCATCGAGATGCCTGATATATCGAAGTTACCAAGAATATATTTAACAATAACAGCTGTGGACCCCTGCGGTCTTTTCCTACATTATAATCATACTATTGTACTTTAACATACTGAAATTATTAATTCCAAATATCTTTGTAGATGTTACAATATTACCTATACAAATAACATCTTGTTGCCAATCTTTATAATTTGTTCCTATATTTTCATACAATAGATATATAAATATTAAACCCCACTGTGTTTCCTGTGATTATACTTATACAGCAAGAATATTCAACGTTGGATAGTAGATCTTTATAATTCTTTCCTGTATTATAATTATAGTGGCTGCTGTAAGTAGTATTCCTATATTATGATTAGATATATAATAGTGCCGGTTAGTATTTCCTATCTAATTATGGGCGGTCTAGAATAGTTGTCAACCGGGTTTCAAGCGTTTGATATCGCTTCTTGGAGTATATATTCCACCGGGTGCCATTTGGGAAAAATCACAAGTATAGTTTTCTAGGTGTCAACTATTTACCTAGAAACGTCGAGTTTTCTGGGCAGTCCCCAATACATGTTCTATTAACACCATGATGACTAACTATCTTGTTATAA